CTGGCATTTTGGCCAGGGTCAACCCGCCACACTGAGTTTAATTAGACAGCAGGGTTTAGAGAAGATATTTGGTCACACTAGATTATTTTGTGTGCACCGCGTGTAAACTTTTTTACAGTTTAATTTTTTACAGTTTTACAGTTTAAAATTACATCCTCAGAACAAAATTCACCCTTAAATCACAGCTCATGGTGATACTGTCTCTCACATGACAGTAAACCATGGCCCTTTTGCCTCTTTCGAAATAAAAAGATTGCCCACTGAAACCCATTAATAACCCAGTTAATACACTTAAAACAACATGCAAAGAGATAAAATGCCTAATACATCCTCTACTGAAGGCCCTCTTTGATTCATAAATTATTTTAATGTATCAGTCGATTCCCTGCATGGGAGAGGCATTAATACATAAGGAAAGCAGGTTTTGATCTGGGGATTTTCCTTCATATCCTCTTTATTACTCTGTGAAGAAGTTCCTCCATACTTCACAGGCATTCTGCCTCTTTTTTGCTCACCTGTTTCAGTGTGCTGAACGACATTCATTTCAGAGATCCATGCTGGTGCTATTATCACTGGATACAACATATTCTTCAATCTCATCTCAATACCTTAAGGAAAAGTAAGACTCCTTCAGTTACACACAGGTGACAGACAGTCTAAGTTAACTGTTTGACAATGAGATGGCAGCAGGCCTATTAAAAAGTCAGTTCATTGACCATCTGTTACACAGATTATATAAGGTCACAGAGATACCGAACTGTTTTCCTCTAATACAAGAATTCTCTAGGGAAGTTTTAGAGACTCTTTTCTAGGCTTACAATAACCTAAATACACTGTTTAGTACTTGTGTAACCAGGCTATTGTTGTACATAATCCTTCAGGAAAGAACAACAAATACAATGAACCATACAAAGTTTAGGGATCATCTCCTGAACCAGTTGCTCAGGACAACAGATTTACTAAATGCATCTGAACTCTCCTCCTCAGCACTTATATTTGCAGGAGTATATATTTTTGGGGAAAAAAACAGTAAGATTTCAAGTCTTGAGAGTTTACTCACTGAAAAATCTTTCAAAATGGAGGTTTCATAGTTGAATTAATTTGATTATGAGGACGTTTACACTGTGACACTCTCCTCTTCTCAAAATTCCACGAAACTAGCACAAAAGCTCAGAGGTCTAGATAAGCATTTTTTCCCCAAACACAGCAAAGAACAGGGGAAAACGTTCACTGTGAGATTAATCTACCTCAGAGGAAAATTTGTTCCTACATACAACCTGAAGATCAAACAGCTATTTATTTAACAGCAATGGCATGAAGGAGGTTTACATTTGCACTATTCTCACAAAATACTCCATGGAAAGTTTTCCAACTGCTCATAATGAGCATCAGCTTTTCCTCTTACCCACTTCTGTGTTCCCCACAACGAGCCTGGCATTGGGGTACTGGGATTTGAGAGCCACCAATTGCTTGAGAGTTGTAGGCTGGATCCACATCACGCGTTCGCCTTTGAAACACAGCTGTTTCTGCTGTCTGTTACTCTGAGTCTGCAAAAGTGAATTCAGATAGAGCTCAGGCCCTACATCAAGCCAAGAATCCTTGCTCACATCCTTCCCATATGCTGCTCATGCCTATGCCAGGCCAGGCTCCGTCTTAGTCAAGTTACTGACAGGTGACTGTGATATCCACACCATTGCTGGCTGTTCACCATTCCCCATCCTTCTGCTAGCAGTGACGAGAGTCTTTTTCATGCTGACAAGTTTTCCCTTCCTGATATTGCCAGGTGCATCCTGCTGCCACAACTCCCTAGCAAGACCTCTGCCACAAAGCTCCATCTGACAAAAGTTCCAGGAGATGCCCATGGTTTCAGCCATCTCAGAAGTAATGGGGTTTGCATTCTCATCTCACTGCAAAAATATCAGTCTTTAGCACTGCTGAATTTGAGTTACCAGCTGTAAGGCCAGATTCTGGTTCCCTTTTTGATTCCTTCATCCAGTGACTGAAGAAAACAGACTAACATGGCTGCCTCCCAGCAGCATCAGATCAACCCTTAGGTAGGAGAATGTCATAGAGAAGAAACAGAGGGAACCCATCTCAAGCTAAATATATATTATGCTATGTTCTATGAGAACTTATTCATGCTGTAGCTCATGACACATTTAGGCTGGGTGCAGCAGCAGAACTAACGTTTGAATTTCAGTTGTTTGTTAAATGTGAAGGAAGCTGTAAACATGTCATGGGCTGGACTGGATTCCCGGATGCAACACATTTGCTTAGGGGAAAACTACTCCAAAAAAGACAGGAATGAAATATGGAGAGAAACTAATCTCACCTGACTTTTGATGTCAGTGTGAGCCAGCCAGCTTCCACTCCTGCTACACTAAGTGGAGAGAAGCTGGTGCTTTCAGGAAGTCATCTAGTTGAAACATATTTAGCTACATCTCATAGCTCGTACTCATCTTCCTACACTATAAAGGGAGCACAGGCAGTTAGCTCAGTTATAGCTGTATCTAATGTAGAAGTTCACAGCTGACCTAGCAAATTGAAATCTAGACATCAGCAGCTGTTCCACCCGTGGATAGGCAATGACACGAAAGAAAGGCAACCCAAGAGCAGGCATATATGGTGAGAAACAGAGAGGAAAGCCAGCCAGATGAGGCAGAGATTCGGCCTGCATATCTTTCAAGCCACCTGGCTTAAAAGCCTTCCCTTTACAAAACAGGGAAGCATTCATGTCCATACTGCTTCTTTTATCAGCAGCCATCCCTTGCACTGCCGTTCCCTCAGGGCAGAGACACCAAAGACCACTCAAACCCTGTGCAGAACAACAAAACCAATGACCAACGTACTATTTATTTTTGAATGAACTTACCATTAACTCTGGTGGGAAGATTGGCTCCTGTGTAGGGTCTAATGGCTGGAACTCAGAAGAATTGAACAGGCTGGAGGACATCATTGTCTATGACAGAGAAAATGCAAATGGCTGGGCAGCAGAGAAGAAAGCTATCTACATACAACCCTAAGTCGTTCCTCTTTCCAGTTCACTGTTTTATGGAGCAAAGAATGGCAGACACAGTGAAAAGTTGCCACCTGATCCAGCATTTCAGGTTCTTCAGTTATATTTTTCTGATCACAATGCATGTCTGGTCAGAAATGTAAACCTGAACACATTAAGAGGTTTTCACCAATCAAGTGACATCACTTTCACATTGGCACGTTAAATTACATCAAAGGTACTTTTTCTGAGGTAAGATCAGCATAAAACATAAACTAGACTAAATGGTGTGGAGAAATGCTAGGCTTCTAAGGTCGTTATGCCCTGGACAGAGCAAGGACGAGAGCTGAGCAACTTGTTCATCTGGCAAAAAAAAACAGCGAAAGGATAAGATTGCTGTTATCTGCTTCTCCCTTCCACAAACCTTGTCAGGGGAGATAACAGCTGAAAGAAGGAACCTTGTGGTGGCAAGACGGCTCTGTTTTGGCACAAAACTCTGAAGGCTACAATGCCCTGGAGTGAAACGTTTGCTTAATTATCTAGAAAATTAGTATTACAGTTAACACCCCTGCTTATTTCTATATGTATATGACTATGTCACTCAACTCTCCACCTAAATCATGCTATATGTAACCCATGGGAGAGGAAACAAAGAATTAGAGAATAAAAAGAGGAAAGTAAGGGGTAAAAATTGGGAGAAACGGACTGAAGATCTGGAAGAGACGGTCAGTGGGCTGTGCCCCTCTTCCTCCACCCAACATAGGGACGCCTTCTTGGTAAGAATTGCACCTTCACTCCTGGCAAAGAATACCCAGGAAAATTTGGCCAGCATTATTATAGCACATTAGCACTATTGCAGTAAGTGCATTTATCAACTGCAATTCTGCACCTGTTCTATCTGTCACCTTAACAAATTACCTGTACTTGCAACTTTGCAAAACTGCTTCAGTGAAAGTCCTTGAGAGGGCTCTGACAGGCAAACATCACATCCTTACTCTTAACACGAAAATGGCTTTGCATAAACACAGCTAAACTAAAAGCATTGGGCTTCAGCACAGAGGAGCCAGAGGTAAGTCTTCAAAACATCAGAAACAGAGGAAAAACTAATAGTTGAGAGGCATCTTACCACATTGTCTTCTTTTCCATTCATGCAGCAGCCTGGACCATTGGCTTTTCCTCCACAGCAGCCTCCATTCTGAAGAAGAAACAAGCACGCTTCAGCTACTCTACACAAAGTCAGAACATCCCAACTTTTACAGGATATATTCCTGCACTTTCATCAAGCCCTGGATCACAGAAATTTACAGTAACATTTTTCGTTAATAAACTACTTTGACAAAATGACTCCAAGCAGTCTTAATTGCTGGAGTATTCTGCGCAACACTGGGTGCTTCCTAACGCAGAATCCACAGGAATTAACTGGAATTTCCCAGCAAAGAATTTCATTATATTCTCCCTTTCCTAAATTCATTTTATACTGACACTACCTTATGTCCTAATTCCTTGGGTTTGTCCCTCCCTTGCTTGTATCTCAACTGGTATATAAAATGCAATTAGCTTTTTTCCTCCAGATATTCCAAAAGGTTCCAATTGTACAATTTATTAGAATGGTGATTAAATTATTTAATTCATCATTGGACTGCAAAGTTTAGGAAGGATCATGCTGGGGAATTAACTTGGTTTTAGATCTGTTTTCACAGAAAGATGGATCACTTCATCAATATACCAGAAGCTGGTAAGACATTGCTTACAGCTGTCACCATGCTATTTCACAGAAGTGTTGTAACTCACAGATTCAGAAGGGACATACCTAGCTCACTACTGTAAAACCTGTGTCATGATAGCTAGTCATGCTAACCAGGACATACGCAGTCACAGTGTTTTACAAGACAGACATTCAAACCAGCTCAGACAGCTCTGAATATCTGCACCACAGCAGAGCTAGAGAGGTGACTAATGCATCAAAACTCTAATACTATCTTGCAAGTTGAGGTTATGGCTTTTAAAATTCAGCTTACCATGCTATTTTCCCTCTCACTACGACAGCATCCAGTACCATTGGCTACTCTGCCACAGCAATTCAAATCCTGTGGGGATAAAAACTGTTCTGAGAAAAACATGAAGATTCTGAGGAAATTAAGTAGACTTGATTCCCTTTTAAGAGAAATTGATCACGCATTTATTATCTCCAAAGTAGAAATAGGAGATGGAAGGTGCCAAGCAAGCAGATGTTTCCCTTGCCAACAGAAGGCAGTATCCTGCAGTGTGATGGCTAGGTCATGTCCAGCCTACTGATAGACCTCTTGTTCTGGTTTAGAGCTACTCTGACCATTCAGCCAGTATCTCTGGTCCAGCTGGAGCTGTGAGGAGATACCCAGAAGAAAGGGACAGCACATACAATACCTAGTACCCTACCAGCATCCAACTGCATTCAGCTCAGGGAAGTACCTTGGCCCAGTGTCATTTCTGTCTCTTTAGTAACACTCAGTAGCGCTCCATCCAAGTACCTGTTCAGCCTGCTCAGAGCTTGTGTAAGTTTTGGTGCCCACAACATGCTTTGGTGAGTTCTGCAGGTCAGTTACCTGGTACATGGCAGATCTTCTGTGTTTGTTTTCAACCTGACTCCTACTAGTTTAATTTCTTGACACCTTGCTCTTGTATTGGAAGAGGCAGCAAACAGCACATGCCTGTCCACATTCCACCTGCCAGTCACAATTTTGTAGATCTCTATCAGAGGTCAACACAAACCACTATACGGACTATGTAGAGCCCCTTCGCCTCCCTGACATCTTTTTTCCAGGCTGACATGTCCCAGCCTACTCAGTGCTTCCTGAAGCCACATTCCCACAGATGTAATCCTCATTCCATTTCTCTGAATCTTTTCTTATTCTGCTATGCCCTGTTAGAGACAGGAGGACCAGAACTGCAGACTAAAGTGTAGGAAGAGCCATGATGCAGACAATGGCACAGCAGTGTTTTCTGTTTTGTTCTCTACGCTTTGAAGAGATGTTTTGCCTGCCAGTAAGCATTGAGCTGATGCTTCCATGGAACTGTCTACCACACCTCCAAGATCATCTTCCTGTTACCATGTATAGTAACAGGAAGATGATCTTATGTCTGCTCACAGCCTATCATTTTATATGTGAAATGAGGACTGCCTTTCACTTTGGAAATTGCTTTGCATTTATTTGCCCTGAATTTTGCATCCCAATCTATTCTCCAGTCTCTCAGGTTCATAAAGTCTTTTTAAAATTTCTCAAAGTCTGTACCTGTCATCACTACCCAGACAAACTTGATACCAGTTAACTTACTTTCTCACATCACTGCTCACTTTTTTTTCCACCTCATTTAGGGATATGTTGAACAGCCTTGCTCTCACCGCAGGTCCAGCAGAACTCTACCAGTGACCTTCCTTCATTGCAAAAATACACCGTTTTCTCTTACCTGCCATTTCCTGACTTTTAACCAACTTTCATCCATACAGAAATCTTCCCTCCTACCCCATGGCTGCTTATTGTCTTTAAAAGCCTTTAGTGAGACACTGTTGAAAGCCTGATGGAAATCCAAGTAGACTATATTGGCTGGGTTTATCAACGACTCCTGCTTATATTCTTTTTTGTTGACCGTAAATCTGGATAATAAAATTAAATTAGTGGGCAGCATTCTAAATTCCTTACTTTTGATATTTAATACCAGCATAGCCCTATTAAGTGTCTAGTAATCACTGAAGTACCTAATGACCTACTTTCCTTCACAGCCTCCAGCAGTCTTTCAGGAACAAAGGGACTAGAGAAAACTTATGGCAAAGCTTTGTGCCTTACCCAAACCAGCAGATGAGTTCTGGGCAAGAGCTATACAGTAGTGACTTCAACTTCTTTCTAGAGTTATTACAGCTCCACAGCTGATCTTTCAAGAAAGCGACTTTCTCAGATTCCCCCAGAGTATGTCCCTATTCCTGCACCATACCTTTAAACTTTTTCCACATGAGGGATCATCTGCAAGCTGTATTATGCAGAGATGCCAAGTTTTTCAGAGACTTACAGAAAAGAATTGCAGTCTGATTACCTGTGATCCAAAAACAGACCACCAGGTGGACCTTAAAGTACTCCATTTCCAGCAACTGGAATAAGTAAAAGAGTTGGTCTTCCTGCAATATTAACGCATGAAGCACATACAAATGGATTAACAGCTGGAGCTGGGTTGTTGTAGCATGCATATTTCCTTCCTCCCCATTTCAGATCACGGTTTATTTTAATAAGAGAAAGACAGCCAGCCTTCCAAATTTTTTTAAACATCACTTGAAGCCACTTACTTTAGCAAATGTCCTGTATCCTTCCAGAATGGGTCTGTACCCTGTACACCGACACAAGTTCCCTGCATTGCAGAGGAAAAGGATAAAGATTTAGTGTCACCTGGCTGAGAACTTCTCCTCTTTTAGAAGATTTTATGTTTTCTCACAAAAGCTTGACAAATCTAGATAAAGCTAATGAAAAAACTGGGAGCAGGAAAATTTCATTAGTAATCTTGCAACAATCCTACCATCCTTTATTGTTAAATTTTTAAATTGAAATTAAGTTAGCGGAAAAAAAAAAAGTCCGTCTGCCTTATTCAGTGTTTATTTACCTCAATTGTGTGAGTCTAATTGGTATAACAACTATCCAGTCTCCTGAATTACAAAGAGGTTGCTTTCTCCTGCATCCGATTTCCTCTTGGGTCACTGCCGGAAGCATCGTAACAGCTCTAACCTCAGCCATAACAGCAGCCTCTCAGATGATTTACACGGTTGGATTCTGCCCCACTCCATCATGTATATTGCTGTCTTGGTCCTTTTCTTGAGGTTGGCTGGCCCAGATGCTTTCTATCACCTCTGCAGGCTCTTGTAACAGCAATGAATAAACAAGGAGATGTGGAGACTCTTATAAGCCTCCCAGGGACAGGCCACGTTTTGTTCTGTGTTAAGCTTAGTGGGGTCCTAATCCAAGACTAAGGCCACTTGTCCCTGCTTCAGGACAAACCATAAGCTTCTGTGAGATTTTCCACAGGTCATTTTTGTTCAGTTCATGGCACCTGGCCAGTATCCCAGTGGAAAAGCTAGTTCTTAACTTCATAACAACTACCTTTAACAAAATGCATTAAACAAAGGTGAATCTCCATCTCATTTGATGAAGCAGATGTAACAAAAGCAGAAAAGGTTGCATCTCTGCAGAGCTACAAGTATTACCTTGGAAAGCATCTTCTATGTCCTCCATTTTGGGCTCCGGTTTGTTCCGAAGCAATGTATACATGGACATGACAATGCCTGGAGTGCAAAAGCCACATTGGGACCCATGACTCTTTGCTATTCTCTCCTGAGAAAAAGTAACAACAACCATCAGCTCATAATATCAATGTGAGTTAATTGTTGTGCTTGTTTCTGTAACAATCTCACCACAGGAGCCAAGACTATCATCAGATGTTCTCTGATGAGATGGTCAATTAATCTGTGAAGCAGACTTCAAAGAAGAGAACACTGAAGTTTGCATCTAGGCTTTGAACTCCCACTGTAACTGAAGGCAACTAGAAGCCTCAGTGAGATCAGGAGTTCTTCAGATTTACCATGTTAGAAAGGCTGGGGCTACCTGCACAGACCTGAGTTTGAATTTCAAAGCTTAGCTGTTACAGTCTTCAGGGGAGGCAGGGAAAAAAAGTCAAGCAAACAAAGGTCAGACTAGCTGTCATCCATTCATGCATGCCTAACTTATTTTTCACTTTGTTGTTTACTGTCTCAGATATTGGCACAAGTCCTACCTACTGTACCAACTGAGATGAATCATAGTTTCCCTTAAAGAAACAGTATCTCTGACAAAGCTAAGGCAAGCCTTCTTCCATAAAAGTACATTATAACACCTTGCTAGAAGAGCAAGGCTTCACATTCGTGTCACTCCTCCTCACCAAGAATATTTTGGGACTCCTGAAACATTGCTGAACCAAACCTTACTGCAGGGAGGGTTCCTAACTATGCAGGATGAGAAACCAAGGTCATTCATGGAAGGCCATAAGAGATCCAAAACCCAACTGAGATTTTCTGGCTCCAAGTCATCGCATAGGCTTTCACCGCATCAGTCTTCCCAGTTCCTGGGCTTTGGTCCAGGATGTGGACCAAATACAGCTACATAGCCTTAGAACAAAAGCATTAGCAATTCAGCCAGGATAGCACCAGTTAACTTGTTAGGGTATAACAGAGCTGCATTATTGACCTCGGAGTTTGATTCCATCACTTAGTCATTCCTGCAAGTAAAGACTACTCATGTAGAAAGCCAGAGTCCCAGCTTTAATGTTATGATGGTGGTCCAAACACCATGGAACAGGATTAACTGATGTACGAAGAAAACATGAATAGAGGGTTTTAAAATTACCAGTATTAATAGCTTACCTGGGCTGGGTGCAGCCTGGATTTTGTGCTTCCTATGCCTTCAACAGTAGTTACAGCTACATGATGCAGGGCACAGACAGGGAAGAGGCAAGCATTGGCAGTGTGGTGGCTAAAATAATAAATTAAGGTCATTTCATTTGACAGTGCTGCTCAACAAAGGAAAAAGGGAACAGGAGGACTGAAGAGTACTCAGAAACTGTAGCAGTGGAGACAATAGAAGAAGTTATATAGCTGTGATACAGGTATTAGTTACAAGCCAAATCCCACAGCAGCTACTCAGCCGAAGTTCTCAGCAGCTTCACTTGAAGTTTAAATTGAGTATGCATCATAGGATTTGACCTAGGAATAACAACTTTAAACACCCTTGTTGCATGTTAAGCTACCAAACCCATGTAAGTAATTTGTAGGAGCAGACTACAAATACCAAGATGTTATACAGCTGGCCTGGCCCAGTCGTGAAGTTACATAAAAGCACAGAGTTCTTGGCCTTTTACCTAGGAAACCGTTTCTAGATGGTACACATCGGGAAAAAGTCCAAGCTGAAGGTAAAAATTGAATAATGTTGCCAAAATTCTTATAGGAACTAGCTACTTTATTTCATTTCTATCAAGACAGAATAACAACCCTAAAGATATCCTACCATGTTACTAACCAGAACCACTAAGTTAGATGAACCTAAGTATTGCCAAGCATTATTCCAAATATATCCAAGATTTCAGTGCTTTCTATTCCCCACAGTAAAAATAAACTGGGGCCTGTCCCTCTGCCTCATCTTCTCTCTCCATCCCCCTTTTTTGTCTGATTTCATTGCTTCACCCTTCAATTAATTAAAGACAGAACAGGAGGAAAGTTTTTGTCTCAGGAAATCCCGAAAGTTACAACAGAAACAGAGAAAAAATTAGTATCTGCTGGAATACAGAAACAAGATTACTGTAGCAATACAATTGCAATAAATATTTTATCACAGTAATCAAAATTTGGGTCATCACAGCAAAAAGTTATATTACATTGCAAGAAAGGAAGATAATGGTTTTCTGAATTGGGAAAAGGCAGGTAGCCTGTGTGCTACAGTCAGTGCAGATATTTCAGGGTACAATGAAAGTTCCCTATCAGCACTGTGCAATGCTGTAGGAAAAAAATACCCTCTTGTCTTAGCCTTCTGATTTTATGTTCTGAAAGTGAAAAATTATGTTTTGGCAGAAACATACATTATATAACCTCTTTTTTTTTTTTTTTTAAATAGTACCATGTCAGGAATGTCAAGAACCTGGATCTGTCCCCATTTCATTTCTCTGTTGAAGAGTTCAGATTGCAAAGGATACAGGATTTTCTTCCGAAAGGGATCATACTTGGATATCATAACAGTGCAAGCACCACATCCACCTTCTCCACAGCCTAGTTTGGTCCCACATAGGCCCACTGAGAGAACAGGAATCAAGGAAAACACGAAGAGTGTTGGCAGAAGCCCACTCAAACAGTTGTCAATCAAGGCTTAGCAACAAGTTCTTGCTGGAAAGTAAGCACTCATTTTTTTCTGCTTAATAACTTAATTTAACATAAGCAAAGTTTCAAATGCTGGCATGTAAGCTTTGAGATCAACACCCAAAGCCCTAATAAGGATGCAGTCCACGATCCAATAGACTCTTAGAATAAACAAAAAATTTCTGAACTTCAACAGTTCCCACTTTCCATTAGACTCAGAAAACGAAATGACATAAGAAAACAAAGCCCTCGGCAGTTGCTGAGCGGGAGCTGTTCAGGCATGCAGCCACATCCCTGAGATGTATGGTGACATCTCCTTCAGCACCTCTCACCAGTGGTGGTTGAATTCTTCCTACACCTGGTGATTCCTGCCACCTAGAAGGCACCCAGGCAAGGCAGTCACACAGTGCTACAAGTCACACAGTTTAAGCACTGACATGGGAGCTGCACTTGAACTGCTTACAAAATACCCGCATCTCAAGAGTCATTGTCTGGCTACCCAGACTCTCTTGGCCCCGTTTATGATGACTTCCCCATTGCTAGGGACAAAACCAGCCAAGCACACTCCCCAGTAGCCTGTTTCCCATAAAGCCACAGCAGAGAGCCAGAAGTAGTGGAGATTCACAGAACCACTGCACAGACACTTGGGAACTCACAAAGCGTACGGACTGACCTAAGCAGATTCCTCCACAGGCTGCAGAATGCATGTCTGAACTTTACAATCAGGCATCACATCAAATGTTCTGCAAAGATATTTCAGGAAAGAATTCCTCGAATCACTTTGCATTCCTTAACTCACCAGTATGTAATTAGACACTGTAACTTATTGTGAAGAGGACTGGCCAATGCTGAGAGACTTTTAGTCGGGAGAAAAACAGCTTTGGCAATGGACACATGCCTGTGTTGAGATAATCAGTTTAGGCCTGTGGAAAAGCAACAGGCATCATGATATAGGGAACTCAAATCATCTTTGCCTTTACTGCAAAGATTCTGAACTATTTTCATAGAAATCATAGAATCATTTAGGATGGAAAAGACCTGTAAGATCATCAAGTCCAACAGTAAACCTAACACTGCCAAGTCCACCACTAAACCAAACCATGTCCCTAAGCACCATGTCTACTTTTCATACAATCACGTGCCTGCTTCAGGAGAAATATAGCTTTCCTGTGCCATTCAATGTTTCTCTTGACAGCAGTGCTAATCTGCCTCAATAAAACATGTTTCTCAAAGTATTTGTCTGATCCTAACCAGACATCTACAAAATGAGTTCACCAGAATGTTCAGGCAGAAGATCAGAAGGTTTTGAAGAGCTCCAGTTATCTCTTTACAAAGCTATTTGCATCAGATATTAACAAGATTAAACATAAAAGGTCTAGTGGTAAGAAGTGCACTCAGGCACAAGAGTCATGCCACTTATTTTTCCTTTTAAACTTTATCCACCCAAGGCACAGTCAGACAGAATAGGGCTGTTGACAGTTCTGCTGGAAACCCCAAAGAGAAATGTGATTTATATCCCCCTACTTCTTTCAGATCCCAGACAAATAGAACATGACAGTATGGTGAAATAAGTATGCATGATTCTTTTTAAGGAATACACCAACACAGATGTGAACTGTTTGGCATATGTACACACCCAGCTGGTCAGACAAAAACTCAGAAAACATGGAATGACACAACCTCGTATAGCCAGCCTGGTCATCACAGTAATAGCTACCCAGCTCCTGCAGCTAATCTGACTCATGTGTTGACCAGTTTCAAATAGGAGTGAAACGTGACTTCTTGCATCCACTCATGTAAACATGCCCGCAGTATGTGGTAGGAACGCTGCTTCTGAGTTTGCACCCCTGGGTCATCTGATAAACAGGCCACAGGATAATCAAGTTATTGGATATTAACTATCTAGTAATATCCAAATTATTGGATGATACAGCAAGCAGCTCAAGGGACTATAATCTTTTGGCCAGAAAATTCTTCACAATTTGTGTGGAACAAACCTAAATTTCCTTCAATTTTATTGTCGTTTCAATATTGCTTTCTTTCCGTCATACGCTAATCCCTAGCAATTCTGAGAGTTTTCCCTTTAAAGTATTAATAAATTATTTACAGTTTATTTATAGTATATTATTTAAAATTTGCTACTGTTTAAGCTTGGAATACCAACTGTAATCTTTGCCAGCAAGAAATACCAGACTATGCAGAGCACTCCCTCTCATGCTCTGTGCACAAGCTCTGCCTAGCACTCAAGTGACAGGGAGAACAGTAAACAATTATGAAATGCTGTAGGCATTTAAAGCCTTCTGCAGTTCCTTCTGACACTGGATACATTTTCTTCGTAGATAGGTTAGCAGAGTTGTTTCTGGGTCCACATCTTTTTCCACCACCTGCAAGAAAGGAAATGTACTGTTACATACAGAGTGCTTTACAACACAGATACTTTAGTTGGAAGAAGAATGTTTGGACTTTCTGCAACTTCTTTTCCAAATCAGGGAGCAGAACCACTGGTTAACTCCCCTTACTAGGTTCAGCGATGTTGGTCATGTATCAAGACATAACGTTTCCTTGAATTTATTGTGACAGAGAAAAGTATATGCGTTACATGCGTCAGAGTTTTTCAGCCATGGCACACTGAGGCAAATCTTTAAAAAGCCTTCATCAAAAATGACAAACAGAATTAGTAGTCAGCAGAGAGAGAAAGAACTGTGTTTTGTACTCGAGTTTTGAATTCCTGACATGTCCTCAAATTGCATCTCATCTTTATTGATCATGCATAACCGACCTCTGTCGCTTGTCCTTCTTACTATTAGAAGAGACAGAGAAAATGAGTAGATAAACAGAATGACAGAAACAGCATCGGTAATAGACTTTGCAGAGGAAAAAAAACAACAGTGGAAACCCTAACATGCCCAACACAGGTGCTGCAGGACAGACAGCAAGTACCAGTCATCTTGAAGTTTCTCTTTCATCCCCACTAATGTTAAATCAATCGGTGTCACTTTAGTAGCCTTCCAAAATACGGGAATATGAAATTCCACCAAGGAGAAATTTTCTCTGCACATGTTGAGTCAGCTCCACCTATTAGCGAACAACACTATTAGCAGTTATCTATTAGACATAAAATTAGATTTTACTTCAACCTCTGCCCAACGGTCAGAAACCAAAGTTCTGCCCTTGCCTCCAAATGGCTGCAGAGCTTTTTCTGTTATTAATAGAGTGTCAAGAAACTTTTCCAAATTCATTGCGTGCCAGAATGTAATCATGTGTTCTTGGCTCTTATATTGTGCAAGTCCTAAGTACAATAGTTACAGTTTATTTAAATTAATCACTCCCGGTTTGAAGGGCAAATTGAAAAAGAGGTCATTTCTGTAAGCCTTTTTTCTTACCGATAAGAAACCTTCACAACCTCTGTACTGCTTTTTTATGCCTTTAACACGTGACAGGGTTATTCTAAAGAGACAAGGTTCATACTTCTTATTTGAGTCCATGTTTTTAGAGCTATCCGATGAAGTTGCTGCAAAAGAACGTAACTGGTCATCTTTTGCACATCTAATTCCTGCACTGGGGGTAACCTAGAAGGAAACGGAATTGACTCTTCTAGCTTGGGGATGTCTTACTGTAAATCTTGCAGTACTCATATTGCTGCTATTCAGAGCAGAGCACTCCTGTTCCCTCACCTTCTCGATGCATAGAAACAAGTAAGAGCATACAGTGGTGCTCTCATGTTCATTTTGTTCAAAGGAAGCACATATAGTTTGGTAAACAGACAGACATGACCAGATAATTCCAAAAATGCCTGTGACTACGAGTGTCCCAAGGACAAAAGGCATTTCACAGCCAAAAAGCCTTCCCCAGCAACTTTCTTCTCCAGAGATGTGCCAATTGCCATTGCAAACCCTTCAAAAGCAGCTTCCAAGGTAGCCAGGTACAGAGAAAAAAGCTTCAGAATATTTTTCCAGATGGTTAAAGACTACTGAGATCATTCTATGCTTAGATCAAGGAAATGTCTGAAGATGTTTTCTTGAAAGAATCCAAGAAGCCCTCCATTATGTACTTAAACCAAGCAATTAAAAGTTTGGCCCAATAGTTCCTCTTCAGGAAGTTAAGGAAGAAATAAAACATGGGCCTAAGCCTTCATTCAGCAAAGTATTTAGCTACTCAGCTCCACACACTTTTAGTGAAGTACTTAAGCATGTATTATGTCCCAAAGCTAAACCTTTGCTCAACTTTATCAGAAGGTGGCTCCCACTGTGCAGTAGAACATGTCCTGAACAATCCACTCTCATCATGTTCAAAACAATATCCCAGGACTCCTACTTCAGTCACTTCGAACTACTCCCACTGTAGTTGCGCATCCGCAATGCTGGCAGACACAGGATCAGAGGGAGATAAGGGGTAAAAGTTTGGAGGACATTCTGTGCTAAACCAAATCTCACACGTCAAAGCAAGGAGACATTTCTTTGTACTCAGATTCCTGGTGAGGGGATGCTTGTTTATGAGTCTCTCTTGCTGGCCACAGTGTTAAGACCTTTTTACTGTTCCTGCATTTTGTTCACTGGCATCGATGCTGGTTTTGTCCTCCAACATGTCATTCCTCCAGTGGTTTGTTACAGTTACCTGCTGTGATTTGTTCTTAAAATATTTTAAAACCCTGTGGGTGAGATAACATCTTCTCTTGTCTGATGCCCAGAACAATATGATTCACAGCTCAATATCTTACCCATCAAAACAATTCTTGCTCACCTCCCCCATATCCTTGTACAGAAGGAAACTGAATTACCTTCACTGTCTTCAGTGGGAGTAGATCATCCTACTTAGATATTGCAATTAAAGAAACATTTCCTTTTCTCTCAGTTAATGTTTTTTAGGTTTTTTTTTTGTTTTTAAACCAAACATCATATTGCCAGATACATCAGATTGATGACTACATTTTGACAGATTCGAAACTGTGGAATTTAACACATGTCGTAGCTTAAGTATTAATCAAATGCAGAAAGAAACTTTGTTAGAAATGTTAGGATGGCACTGGCAGTCAAATGACTCCCAACGAGTTTGCTCTGTACTGCTGTGTTTGTACTACACATCTATTTGTCTACTGATTCATGAACCTTAAATACTCAGATCACTTCAGCAGCAGGGAGCCCAGCCTGGCCCTACAGTTCTTCAAGCTTTAAGTACTACACAGAACAAGTTCCTAAGCAGAACTCTATACTCAGAACTCTGGGTTGGTCCAGAGAGGTGTTGAGCTCACTTCCCCATGATTTCATGTACAACACTTGGAGCTCAATAAATATTTTGTTTGCTGTCTTTTGTACCTGCCTTTCACTAACTCAGATAACTTTGCCTTTGCAACATAAAGCATCATATTTAAACTAATATTCCCAAAAAGTTAAATAAAGGATTTTTTCAGTTTAGAAGAACAGTAATCGATCAAGGGAAACAGAGGAACAAAAATGAAAAGAAAACAGAAACTTTCCTAGTTTACCAAACAACATGCTAAGCTTTCCATCATCTAGGGTCTTTAAATGAGAAACAGATGCTTTTCTGAAAAAGCTTCCATTCAATCACTAGTCCCTAGTCACTCAATTAGTTGCAACAACAGAAGGTGAAAAGTTTTAACCAGACTGCCATGCAGCAAGTCAGACTGGTCAATGGTAAAGGTCCCACAGGACCTTAAAAATTGGTGAATGTGTATTCCTGAAGTCAATGAGAGATTTCAATTTCATTTACTAGGGAAAAGGATTAGAACACAGATGAACAAACTGAATATAACCACACAATGTAAATCTGCTATTGGTCATGAGAACATTTTGTTCTGCTTCGAACCAGCACACTGAAAACTTGTAATTCACTGTTTATGTAGGACCCAGAGGGTCCCAAAGCTCAAAAAGATCCTGTATTTTGTCTGGTCCCATCTGCAATCAAACATCCGCAGGCTTTGGAAGAGGTCTGATGTGGCTTCCAGCATAGACCCCCTCTTAACATTCAGGACAGAAATAGGAATATTGGCTCCATGTGTTTGAACTGAAATTACATGCTACATATGCAAGAGACAGACTTGTCAGCTGAGGAAAACAAAATTGCCACTATTAGCTTTAAATTGTGTCTGTTGTTTTCCATGATAGTCTAGGCAGACTATAAAGATAACTGTGCTAGTTGTGTGCCAAGCTTCATGCCCAGCGAAGTAAACAGGTGCTTAAAATAAACAATCCTGAATGTGAAGTATGTTCAGCTGTTCTGAGGAGACTTTTTCTTGACAACGTTGCAGACTGGGCTAATGCAAGAGAGAAGGATTTGCTGCCACAAAAGTCCCTATCTTATCAACCACCTCTTATCATGCCGTTTTGTACTGTGGCAGAATATCAGCAGCCCATTAGCAATGTCAACCTGTCATGAATGCACACAGCAGTAATCTTTCCCACTGGCCATGCTATCACATTCTTTGCAGCAAATAGACTGGAATATTTAGTCAGGACTCCAGATGGATGGAGCCATATCCTAACTTGCTACCGGCTGTTTCAGCAGCATTGCCCAGGCACTTACCACCACCCCTTCCATCACATAACCTTTCATATGCAGAAATGTCCCAACAAACTCCACATTTATTGCCACAGATCAGATTCCCTCCCCGCCCCCCCAAGTCCAATTCTCACTCTCAAACCTGCATTTGGTGGGTGTAACTCAAGCCACTTTGGCAGCACACCCAAAAAGGAAATAGAAAAACAATGTCACTGGAGGCTCTGGGTAGAGCACAACCCAGGAAGCCCTCTCTGTGATCAAGCAGAACTTGCTCCTTTGCTAGCATCACCAGTTCCCTGAGCCACCAGAGAAGGATGCCGAGACAGCCTTCACACATGGAACACGTAGTGTTAATCGTTCCCTGGTGGGTTTTTTTTAGCCAACAGCTCTCAAGATCACACTGTGATAAACCCCTTCACACATGCACAGGTCAGCTCCAAGGTGTGGCTTTTGTAAACAGGAACTGCAGTTCCATAAAAATTGCTGAAATGCACCAAGGGCAATGCCATTCACAGCATGTTCGTTAGCTCCAGGACATCGCAACAATAGACTGCAGATACAAAAGGCACTGGTTGTCTTCTGCTGCTGGCCTTCAGGATCTAGGCTTCACTTCCCCCCCTTCTCTGTCTCACCCCACATACATACAAGACAGTCCCACAGAACCAGTTCTGTACAGCTCAGTCTTTTCTCTTGCTTCGGCTAATACACATTCGGAAGAAGTGTTTTCTACCAATTTCCACAGAGCAATTTTCCTGTAATACTTGAGCACCAACCCATGCTGAAGCACCTATAAATGTATACAGGAATTGTTTATAACCTCTTCATACCTACCACGAGTGGCATATTGGTTTTGAACCTTAGCTGGTCTGGCACCAGTACTACAATTCTTTCATTAGAGCATACCAGAAAAATAAAAGACGACAGTACACTTGACCCATATCAGGGTCTGGATTGCCCAACATGGTTGTGGCAACCTCTTACTGCAAGACTCAAAAATCTCTCAATTCACCCTCGAAAAACTGGGGTTCACAGAAGAGGGATCTGAAGTCACTAAAACCTTTACAGAGCAAGAAGACTACAAGTTAATGGTATACCACCTGTGCCCATCATAGCAGAAAATTCATCAGATGGAATTCACAGATCATCCTGTGCCACTGCTTCACAATCTCAGTTACCAGACTCAATTAGCTGGTCATGATTATCTTGGAGCTTCAAGTTTTTATCTTCCTCTAGAAACAATGAATGGCTGATATGTCAATTAACGTTGACATATGAACTATTACTGATGTGTGTGAGCAAAGCTTCAGTTGTCATCCTTCTATATAACACCTCAGAAACAGGGCTGGGTTCTACACCAGTATGGCATTCAAGAGCTCTTTGACTAACTTATAATCCTTACTAGGTAAACTTAATTCTTCACCTAACTATTGATACTTAGATAAAACAAAACTTTATATCAAATGCTCTAGTACCTTGGAAAGTTCAAATTCCAATCCAGTTCGGGATCTAAATTCATAACTAAAACACCCTAATTGAGGCAACACTCTCATACACATTTACACTTGATCAAATTAGCACAAAAGATCAATAAAAGCAAAATTGATAGTAATCCTGCGCCAGTCTGTAGGGCAGGGCATAGAGCTTTTTAACCAACTAAGAATATTGTGCAATCCCTCAAGAGATTAAAAAATTAATTCTCTCTCCCAGACTCGGTGCTGCACATGATTTACCCCTCAGCAGTGCACAGGAAAGGTCCACAAACTCTCAGCTCCACAGTATACAGTGGACGGGCAACCCTCCTCCCTCCCTCAGTTTCCCAGCTGGAAGCTGCTTTGGCACAACTTTCCCTGCCCGAGTATCAAGGTGAGGAGAAGGTGGCAAGGCAAAATTAGCATCGAGCTGAGCTCAGAAATAGAACTAACTTGATCTCACAGTCCAAAAAAGAGGCAGCCTTGACTTGTTACAAGTTTTTGAAGAGTGAAGGCTGCAATGCTAGCCAGGAGAAGTCCAAACTGAGAAAGGTGGCTCTGGGACAAACTATTCAAAGGTGTCAGCATGTGCAAGGACCACCCCACCCTCCTCTGCGAGAATGTCACTTCTTAGGTAATTGTCAGCAGTTGATCTAGGAAACAGCATCAGTTAATGGGCTTTGATTTTAAAGAGTATTCTAGCTTCTTAAATGGAAATGGAATGAACATTTTACTTAAACCTTTTTAAAAATCAAATGTCAGAATTACTTACTGAACACATGAATTATATATGGATGCTTACACTTGAGTTACATTTTCCAGATCTGTTATAAGTACTGAAATTATTTCTAGTGTAAATGCCTATATTAAGTCAGTGTACCTTTACTTAAAGTAGTTACCTCAGAATCACAATAAATTATTGCCAACAAATCTAAAGTATAAAAGGAACATTATACAGTTGTTCACAAGGTAAAGTCAAAGAAAAGAAAAAGCCACTTAGCAAAGAAATAAATAGTCTTCACAATTTAATATTTAAGTCATGGCAATTGTGCTGGTACTAGAAAACTTCAGGAGAGGAAAAAGATGTCTAGAAAAACAAGTAATCAAGCCACAATCCAGGAACAAGCTGGACAGAAAGCTGGAATCTTCCTTACCTTTTTACCATTCACAAAGAAAACAAGTTCATCCCTTGCCTCGTTTGGAGCCATCCTGCACACGTTCCAAAATTCACTCAAACAGGGCCACAGATCACCCTTCTGAGAGCAGCCCTACACCCCACAGTGAAAGGAGCACCAGCAATACAACAAGTAATATGAGTCCGCCTCTAGAATGTTTGACTTTATTTCTACATCAGTGCCCTGTGAAACCCCATATTATATAAGAGTCAACGAAGAGGCGTGCCAGCTGCGTTTGGTTGGTGCCTCTGCAGCAGTAATGACAGAAAAGGAGCTGAACGAGCAGAGTGACCCGCCCCCTTTTATATAGCAATAGATCACAATTCAACTGCATTCCCTTTAGATTATACTGCCAGGCTTGGGGCACTCAGAGTGTGCCACTGCAACGGCTGCCAGGAATTCACAGTATTTTGCAATAAAACGCAAACTCG